TTTCCCTGATGGTGCCTCACCTGTTACTTAGGACCTTCACCCTTTCCCTGGATTCCTCCCCAGCCTGGCCCTTCTCGCCGTCTGCCCACTCACCTCCAATGCCCAGAGGACGGTGGCCTGGTGGGGCTTCATGGACCCAAGCCTCCTGCACATCCTCACAGGGCTGGAGTCTCAGCCTCTCCTCCTGGGAGATCTCCACATTTTACAGACAAGCTCCAACCATATCTGCAAAGTGACCTCCTCTTCCCACACCAGATCACCCAAGCACAGTCTCCATCCTGCTCCACTGCACCAGCCTGTGGGCTCACCCATCCCCCACTTGGTTTTCAGTGGTCCCTGGCCGTCCCAACCATGTGTTTGCTCCAGGAGCCACACTGACACTCAGTTTCCTTGGAACCCATGGCCACAGACACCCTATGACAACAGGTGACTCGGCAAGTTCAGGCAGTTCTTCTGGGCTGCACCTCCCACTTGGTGCTCCAAGGGATGTTCCGTCCTGCTGGCTTGGGTCTGCCTCCCCTTCCTCCTGTCCTCCAGGGTGGAAGCTCATCTGTACCATCTGCTTGGTGTCTCCCAGGTATTGAAAAAAACCAGGGGCTCTGTACCCTGAGTACCCCATACTCACCATGGCCATGGCCAGGGAAGCACCCCAGGAGCCCAGGATCAGACATGGAAGAGAGGGCAGCAGGAGGTGGAGAAGAGGTCATGGGACACAGCGAAGTGGCGGCACAGGTGTCAAGAAGAATGAAAAATAAAGGTTGTAGAGTCGGCGGGGGCACAGCAAGTAGTCTGCTAGCAAATGTGTGACTGGAAGCCAATACAAAGAGAGAAAACAGGGCAGAAACAAGTAAAGCAAAAATCTCCAGAATGTTCTAAGACTGATGAATAATATCAACCCACAGATTCAAGAAGCTCTGTGAACTCCAGGCTGTTTTAAAGGTTTACACAGAGGGGCAACAGTTGGTTAAGCGTCTGACTCTTGATTTCAGCTCAGGTCATGATTTCACAGTTCGTGAGTTCGAGCCCCACATCAGGCTCTGTGCTGCCAGCACAAAGCCTGCTTGGGATTCTCTCTCTCCCTCTCTGCCCCTCCTCTGCAGTTACTCACTTTCTCTCTCTCTCTCTCTCTCTAAAAATAAAATAAAATAAAGATAAAAAATAAAAATTAAAAGTTTGCAGGGCACCTAGGTGGCTCAGTCAGTTAAGCATTCAACTTCGGCTCAGGTCATGATCTCACAGTCCGTGGGTTCGAGCCCCACCTCGGACTCTCACAACAGAGCCTGGATCCTTGCTTTTGAATTCCCAGGTTCTCTCTCTCTGCCCCTCCCCCGCTCACACACTGTCTCTCAAAAATACATAAACATTAAAAAAATTAAAAATACAATAAAATTGGGGTGCCTGGGTGGCTCAGTTGGTTAAGCGGCTGACTTCGGCTCAGGTCACAATCTCGCGGTCCGTGAGTTCGAGCCCCGCGTCGGGCTCTGGGCTGATGGCTCGGAGCCTGGAGCCTGTTTCCGATTCTGTGTCTCCCTCTCTCTGACCCTGCCCCATTCATGCTCTGTCTCTCTCTGTCTCAAAAACAAATTTAAAAAAACGTTAAAAAAAAAAGTACAATAAAATAAAAAGTTTACACAGAAACAATGTGATAAAAATGCTGAAGACCGAAGCCGCAGAGCAAGTGTTAAAAGCAGGAGGAAGGTGGGTTTGGTGGCAGAGCCACCAGCCAGGAAAGGGAAGGGCACCAGGGCCCTCACACCCACCACCGTCTTTCCCTCCCCAGAGAGCAGCAGGGTGGGCTGCTGTCCCAGTGGGTATCCAACCAAGAAGGGTCAAGGGTCCTGAGGAGCTGGTGGAATTTACCTCGCTGGGTTGTAACCCTTTTGTTCCTCCAAGTTCTCCTCTGGAACGCAGTGTCTACAATGTGCCTGTCCCGTCGCCGTTCCAGAATTCTGCCCCAAGGTCTGGCGTAGAGGTGGCTTTGGAGCAGGTGCTGGAATAGGTTGAGACTCTGGGGCTGTTGGGGTGGAATAAATGTATTTTGCATACCAAAAGGACCTGAATTTTGGGGGCCAGGAGGCAGGATGCTATGATCTGAACTGTGTCCTCCAAATTCCGTATGTTGAAGCCTGTCTGCTCCAGCTGCCATAATAGAAGATCACAGACTGGGTGGCTAAGGTCATTTCTCATGGTTCTGGAGGCTGGGAGTCCAATACCAAGGTGACGGCATGGTGTCTGGTGAGAGCCTGTTCCGGTTTCCAAATGGCCTTCCCACTGTGCCCTCACTTGGAGCAAGGGACCAGGTGCTTTCTGGGGTCTCTTTTATGAGGGCACTAATCCCACTCATGCAGTCTTCATCCTCATGACCTAATCACCCCCAAAAGGCCCCAGCTTCTAACACCATTGCATTAGGGGATTAGATTTCAACACGGGAACTTTGGAGGGACACCAACACTCAGTACATATCAAAGCCCTAACCCCCAATGTATCTGTATTTGGAGACGGGGGCTTTAAGGAAGCAGTTAGGTTAACTGAGGTCACTGAGGTAAAGCCTTCACCCAGTTGGATGTGTCCTTACAGGAAGAGACACCAGAGAGCCCATGCTCCCTCTCCCCGCCATGGGAGGACACCTGGAAAAGGTGGCCATTTAGAACCAAACTGTCCTGGCCCTTGATCTCGGTCTTCCCAGCCTCCAGAGTTAAATTCCTGTTGTTTCAGCCACCCAGCCTGTGGTGTTCTGTTCTAGACACCTGAGCAAACTAAGAGACTTTAAATCCTGCTGACAGAACAAGCAGACAAAACTATCAGTCAAGATCTAAGTGTCTGAACAACACAACTGATAGACGTGACCTTAATGGTGTATTGAGAGCTCCATGTCCTCTTACAGGACACACCTTCTTCTCAAAAACTTGCGAACACCACTCAGGTTGTTGAAATCACTCAGGTTGTTCTCTGACCGTGGTGAAATTGAGCTAGAGATTAATAAGGAAAAATAACTAGAAAATCCCATCTTTTGAAATTAAGCCAAAATTTCTAAAAAAAAAAAAAAAAAAAGCCCATGGTACAACAGAAGAAATTGGAATTGGAATTAGGAAATACCTGAAACCAGGAGACACTAAAAGTGTATCGAGATGAGTTGTTGCAGCTGAAGCAGCTCTAGAGGAAAATTCAAGTGTCGGAAAGGAAAAAGTTAAAAACCAATGATCTAAGCATCTACCTCATGGGGGAAAATTGATCTCAACCCCCTCCCTCACATCAGTGACAGAAACCAAGGCCAGGTGGAGTGCTGATTTATGTGCCAAAGGTAAAAACAATAGAAGCTATGGAAGAGACTTCAGGAGAACAGCTTATAGATCTTGGAATAGAAGATTCCTTAAACAGGACACAGGAGGTGTTACTCATAAGGAAAAATAATGTCAAACTGAACAAAATAAAAGTTAAGAAAGACTTCTGTTTATCAAAATACTCCAAAGAGAGGGAAGAAGAACCCAGAGTAGAAGTTCACAGAACAAATCTTTGAAGGACTCCCAGCCGGATTACATCAAGAACCCCCACAAAATTAATGAGAAACAGACAATCAACCACTACATCCATACACCCACCAGGCCGGTGAAGATGAGAACCCCAGATGACAGCAGGGACTGACATGTGCATCGCAGTGCCCTGCAGGCCTGCCGTATGGACATAAGGCTCTCTGACTGTGAAGGACAATCCGGCCATTCGTACCTGGGTAAGCTCAAGTCCAGGTGTGCCTCCAATAGAAACGTGCACATACATTCATGCTCCAAACACACACCCGCACAGACCCCATTAGCTGAACACGGGGAACAATGCAGCTGTCCAGCAGTGGAGGAAGACCCGCAGAGAGTGGTACATAAGACAGCAGGACACCACACAGCAACATGAAGGCCACGTGTGCACACAACCCACAGACGAGTCTCACAAACATCACGAGAACTGAGGAAGGCAGACACAAAAGGGTACCGTCTTACACCACACAGGCTGCCACACCAGGCCACCCTGACTGAGCAGCTTCAACATTAACTTATTTCTCATGGTCTGGGACTGGACATACATCAGGGCACAAGCCCATTTGGTGACCCGCTTCCTGGCTCTCAGACGGCCTCCCCCTACTGGGCCCTCACGTGGGGGCAGGGAGAGGTGCCCTCTGGACACTCTCCTAGATGGGCTGATCCCCCACTGATCCCATCGTGGGGGCCTCTCCTTATGGCCTGACCACCTCCCAAAGGCCCTGACCCCTAATATTGTCACTCTGGGGGTTAGTGTCCAACCTATGAATTTTAAGAAGACATAAACTGACTGAATACTCTTTAGAAAATAGACAATTTATAATTCCACTCATATAACGTTCAAAACCAGGCATACCAATCTACACTGTTAGAGGTTAGGCATAACCCTTGGAGGGTACTGAGTGGAAGGGGCACTTAGGTCCCTAGTGGGTTGAAGTGTCTTGGAGTGAGTGCGAGTTACATGGATGTCCACTCTGTGCAATTTCACCCATCTCAGGGCACGTGGGTGGTTCAGTCAGTTGAGACTCTGACTCCTGATTTTGGCTCAGGTCAGGATTTCAGAGTTTGTGGGTTCAAGCTCCATGTCTGGCTCCAGGCTGAGGGTACAGAGCCTCACTGGGATTCTCTCTCCCCCCCCCCCCCCCCCCCCCCCCGCCCCTCCCCTGCTCATGCACTCGCTCTCTCGCTCTCTCTCTCTCAAAAGTAAATACATAAACTTAAGAAAAGAAAGAAATTTCACCCATCTGTACACATGTGACCTATGCAGTTTGGGGTATATACTTTATAGTTCAATAAAAAGCTAATTAAAATTCAAAACAATACACACACAAAAATGTAGACACATACCTACAGGCATGGAAGTTTCTTCATATTAGATGAGAAAAGTTACAAAGCAATGCATATAGCATGATCCCATGCTTGTAAAAAGAACGTGTGTACACAGAAACAGGACACACGCCAACATTCATTTATTTAAAAATATTTATTGAGCACGTGCTATGTGCCAACACATAATTTATTTGGAAGACATCTCTACAACTGTACTATCCATGCAGAGTCCCGTCACATGCATGGCCACCGGCAGGTCCTGCACGGCTTTGTGCAGTCCCACATTCCGCATGGTTAGGGAGGAACCAGGGCAGCAAAGACACCATGAACACATGATGCGTGAACACTTTCACAGGCGTACAAGGTTGATGTGTGTGTGTGTCCTACGAGTTGTGAACTAGACCTAGCTTAGGGACACGGTGCCACCAACTTACCCACAAGCCAGCACTGTGGACACCTGGAAACACAGCCTACTTCTAGAGGACAGACATGGGCAGTGACAGTGGTGAGGGAGTTCCCGCCGAGCCCAAGCACAGCCGTCTGTGAAGGACCCCACGGACAGACTGAGCCCACAGCTCCGGGGGTACCCCTGTCAGGCCGAGAGAGCTCACAGCTTTCGCAAGAACATGTGCTCACATCCAAGGACATCTTCATTCACTCAGGCTCATTCCTGCACTATCTGCACGCTGCTTCCCACAGAACTTCAACTGTCATCTCCAGATGGGAAAGACTTTTTCTCCAACCTGAAAAAGAAAACAAATCAATCAAATAATAAATCACTTTAGTCTGATTAACATGCAGGATTTCCTAAAAGTAATTTAATATTGTACAAAAGAATGACATTCAGAGACAGAATTGTTTTTTAATGACAAACGTTAAAATTTTAACATAAAATTATCATAAAATGGAGCGGGGTATGGGCTAAATGGGGAAGGGGCATTAAGGAATCTACTCCCGAATCGTTGTTGTACTATATGCTAACTAACTTGGATGTAAATTTAAAAAATAAGTTAAATTTGAAAAGTTATCATAAAACAAAGCATAAAACAGGTATTAACACATAAAGAGAAGCCATTTGATTTTCTTTTCTGTCCTACATTAACCCTGAGTCTGAGAAGAGAATCCTTTGCTCAGCAGCCTCTGTGAGACATGATGCCAAAGGCCCCGCCAGGCCTCACCGTTTCACTGTGGGAAGGACGGCTCCTCAGGCCTCAAACTGCTGCCACGGTCGGAAGGTGACTCACACCACACACCTACATCACCCACCACCTGAAGGCCCCCGCAGAGGGTCGGTCCCCAGCCCTGTTTCTCCACCGGGGCCTCCTGGACACAGGAAGGGGTGGCCCTAGCATGGGCTGGGCCTCGGCCCCCACAGACTCACCTTCTGGCACCTCTGTTTCCTGTTCTGCAAATAACAGCATCCACTTCCCCTCAGGAAGGTTAGAAAAGTGACACAGACAGACAAGCCGTGTGGTCTGGCCATTGTGATCACCACAGACCCGTCTCCCAGGACCAGCACCCTAGCACCTGATTTTACAGCCAAATATCTTACTTTCTGTGATGTGGGGTCCTGTGTGGAAGTGACGGACCAGCTCAGTGCCACGGACATGTGCCTCCTCCACACGGGGTTTCTCTGCAACACAACTGAGCCAGTGACCACATCTCCCATGAGGACAGAAACAGGCTCATCCATCATAAACAGCACCTGCTTCCAGTGGGTGGTGCTGCAAGACACAGGGTGTAGGGTCACCTCTCTGGAGCCTGGTTTTTCAGGCTGACCGCAGGACAGACATCCCCCGACTCCATGATCCAGATGGCCTTTATGGGTTGCCAGGATTGAGTTACAACCCAGCCAGGATCCAGCTCCTGGATGCTGCCCAGATTCCAGAAGGGTGAAGGAGGCTTGCCCTGGTGGCCCCAAGGACACACCGGTGGCCAGGCAGAGGGTACCTGGCCCCTTGCACCCTGGCACAGTAGGCATCCACCCAGAGCCCTTTGCTCGGTCTCTAAGCTGCCAGGGCCCGAGTTCTAGTCTGCAGTCCAAATAAGTTGTCATTCCTGTGAGTCAGGCTGAAGGGGAGCATGGCAACTGTAACATTTGGGGGAAATGGTCACACTCCCGAGCTCGTCACTTTCTACCGGCTCTGACAGCATGGCTCAACTGCGCACTGTGGCCTCTGCCAGACGCTGGGCCTGCGCCCCACGGTCACACTCAGGGAGGTCCTGCTCCCTCCTGCCTCAACCACCATGAGGGTCTCTCCCTGGGCTTCAGAGAGCGGATGTCCCAGGCTCTGCGCCCTGCCTGCCCCACACCAGCTGTGTCCGGACACGCCAGCGGAAGACTGCCCAGGCACACGACTGTCCACTGGGTTTTTAGTGTTCCTACTCTCATCTGTCCCAGTAGGATCTAGAAGGAAAGCTGATGGAGCCCTGGACCTCCACAGGACACTCTGGCCAAACAGCTCCTCAGCCCTGCTCCCATGTTACAGGAGGACAGCTAGGGTCCCTCTGGGCGCACTGCCACAGCCAGCATCTAACCCCTGGTCCAGGGCAGTTACTGAACAGGGCTACAAAGGCCCCAGTTGAAGGCAGCATTTCCACGGGGGCTGCTGTGTCCAGCACTGAAGCAGACGACATCAGCTTCCCAGGACGCACAAGCAAGTGTGCATCATTACTGCACACAAAATTTTCCTCAAGAAACACTGACCTTCCCCAAGAGTCTGAGTCAAAAGCCCCTAGAATTCTGTTGACCGTGTTTGTGTTAGACCACAGAAAGCAGAAGCAGCATCCAGAGCAACTGAGGAAGATGAAGTCTGCTCCTCCTCTTCATGCAGGGGTCAGAGGGCAGCCTAGGGAGCCCAGTGCAGGGGCAGGTGGGGCACAGCCTTGACTTGCCCACCGCGTGCACACCGCGCTCCACGCCTGGGGTAGCCTGGTCTGGAGAGAGTCTAGGTCAACAACCCAGTATTGACAGATCTCTAAATCCGTGACTCTGCCATGTGGTTGTCATACCGACAACCTGAAGGCAGGTGAACCGCCCCAGCTCTTCCAAGGGCTGTGGAGCTCCCCGCGGGAGGTGCACACTCACGGGTGGAACGGGCCTGTGCTCAGCACCAGCTGTGGCTCGTCCTCCTCCAGGCTCTGAAACCGAACACTGAACCAGGCTGTAAATCCATGCAGCGTGCCAGCTTTCCTGATCTCAAAGTGCAGCTCGCCTTTCATTGTCTGTGTTCAAGCAGACGATAAAAGAGGGACACGGTTCGGTAAGCATGTGACACCACGCCACAAGGGCTTTCTCTGTGTGAGCAAGAATTAGCAACTCACTTCACGAATCCCACAACACTGCACTGCGGTAGGCAGCCCTACCACCCGTTTCAGTCATTCTGAATCTGTAACTTGCTAGTTTGGCTCAACATATCAAAAACCACATAAAATTTCCTCCTCAAGAAAGGATTAAAACTTGCATCATAAATTCAAGTGCTGCAGGTAATCACAAAAGGTTTCAAGCAATTTGGGCCTCACGTGCCTAATTTTCTGCCCCCAAATTTGAGTGCAATACTTTTTCTTCTCAATTCTTTGCATAGATAGAAAGTTCCAGGCTGAGTCTCTATACTGCAAAACTAACTGCAGACTCAACAGTTCAGTCCCCACATTGTTTGGCCCAGCTGAGCTCCCGCACGTCACAGCGCACCCTTAAAACGAGACATCCTGGGGCGCCTGGGTGGCGCAGTCGGTTGAGCGTCCGACTTCAGCCAGGTCACGATCTCGCGGTCCGTGAGTTCGAGCCCCGCGTCAGGCTCTGGGCTGATGGCTCGGAGCCTGGAGCCTGTTTCCGATTTTGTGTCTCCCTCTCTCTCTGCCCCTCCCCCATTCATGCTCTGTCTCTCTCTGTCCCAAAAAAAAAAAAAAAAAAAAAAAAACGAGACATCCTGAATCCACAAATGCCACCCTGTGGCAACACAGGGTAAGTGAAAGTATAAAGAATTTCGTCATCAACAGTAGCTAAAAAAACTTAGAAAAAAATTTAAATTCAAAGTCCATGATAAAATTGGATAAAATTAGAATCTGAAGATACTGAAAATATTGTATGTGAACATAAAGATAGCTCATGATGTTAAAGAGGTTAACTATAAAGAAAATAATATAAAAATATAAAATACAAAATCAGAACGTAAAGAAAAGAGACTGGAAAAATCAAAGGCAAAGTTCATGAATTCATTTATCTGCACAGCAAGTTCTGGGGTGTGTGCATCGCCTACATAATGTGAGAGGGAAGACTCATCTCTCACCTCTAGGTCCGCAATCTGCACAGTTCTCATGTCCAACTGTAATATTGTACATGGTTCAGAGAGACAGTCTTCTGGTTTCAAAATGTGGTTATACTTGGGCTTCGAAAAAAACTCCTTAATTGCTAAAGATCTAGGGAAAAAGTCAAAGGAACCGCTCAGAGTCGGGTACCAGCATCTCGGGCTTTGACACACACATTCATGACAACGGTTCTCGCTTTTTCTCTTCAGCATCAGCAGGAATTCCCAGCCACCACCTGTGGCGAGGGCACTGAGGCAGGGCTGGGAGTCCCTGCAGGTGGACGGGCAAGTGTGCAAGCAACGTGAGCACTTCCCGCCTACATCCTATTCCTGGGGCCTGCACACGTGGAAACCAACCTCTACCACACACAGCAGGGCCCTGACCCAGTCTGCTCTGCGCAGTTGTGGTTTCAGTGACCGCAGTCCAAGAGGTGACCCCTCCCCCCCCCACTCCTGACAGGTCGACAGAAGGTCAGCAGGAGCCTGACGCTACCTCACAAGGCCTCCGTCACTCACCTGACTTCACCTCCTCACGCAGGCACTTCATCTCATGGCATAAGAAGGGTGAGTACAGGATAGTAAGATATCCCACAGCAGATAAAACAGATATTCCTGTTCTAGGTCACTCTGCAATAAAGGCCTGCAGGTGCCCCCTGGAGAAGGGCTTGTGCTGCGTCAGTTAAACAAGACACAAGCGCTGGGCCTCCTGCAGGGTCATCTTCTTGTCGCCCAACAGCCCACCCACTCCACTGGCTGACTGCCAGACTTGCCCAAAGTAACCTACTATATACCACGGAAACGTTTCAAAACTTAAGTGCAGCAGTGACTTCTGAAATAGCAAATAAAGGTAAACATTTTAATAAAGATTCCACAATATGTACATATTTTTAATATCTTTCTGATGATAAAATAGTTATGCATTTATAACGAATTGGGAACACATAGAAAAGTATAAAGAAAAAATGTGAGGGGCACCTGGGTGGCTCAGTTGGTTAAGCATCCAATTTCAACTCAGGCCATGGTCTTAAGGTTCATGGGTTCGAGCCCCGCATCAGGCTCTGTGCTGACAGCTCAGAGCCTGGAGCCTGCTTCAGATTCTGTGTCTCCCTCTCTCTCTCTCTGTCCCTCCCCGACTTGTGCTCTGTGTCTCTCAAAAGTAAATAAACATAAAAAAAATTTTTTTAAAGAAGAAACTTAAATCTGTGGAACTTGAAAACTGTACCTTGGTACCTTGATCTATTTAGTCATTTTCTCCCCCAGAGATACATTTATACATGTTCTTATGCAAAGCAGAAACCATTTTATACACATGGTTTGTGTCCCACCAGTTTTACCATCTATTCATCCATCTGATGGATACGTAGCAATTTAACCGCATTCTTACGGATAACTGCCTGTTTCCCACACTGTGTGCACAGCAGCGTGCCGTGGCCCTGGGGCAGAGGGCGATGGGGGTGGATGCCAGCCACACCCACAGCTCTGGCCACACGGCCTCGTCTCCCCGCCATCACACCTGCAGCTCAGACAGCAAGAACTGCTGTTTTAATTTAATCTTTGCGCATCTGGTAGGCAAAAATGGCATTTCATTTTAATTTGCATTTTAACCACTAATGATCCTGCAATTTTTTCCAAATATTTATCAGTAATTTTTATTTGGTTTTTGTGACTTGTGTATTTCCATGACTTGACTATAATTTCACTGGATACTCATCTTTTCTAAATGACTCTAGGATATGTCAGCTAGTAACTTTCTCTAAGTAGTCACTGCCTTTTTAAATTGTATTTATGCTGATGATATACAGATGCTGTCAATTTTTACAGACTGATGTCCAGTGCCTCCTTGTTCCTGTTGACTTTCTAAGACCTGACACATAGGGACCCATGGATTCCTACAGCTGATGCGATGTTTTACCACAAAACTCTTAAATCCATGTGGAATTAAATTTCAGTGTATGGTATGAGGAGAAAAGAAGTTTCAAGGGGCTCTTCTATGGTCCCACAACACTTTGCCACCTCTGCCCCTCACACCCCAACTTTCCCCACATGTTGTGTGTGTGTCCATCCTGGTCCATTGCTCTGTCTTTTCTGGTCTCAGGAGTACCCTGCCCTCACGCCTGTCTCTGTAGCTTAGATGTTAGTATCTGGCAGCTCTTCACGGCTCTATTTTAATTCTCCCCGGCCCTTCCTACCCACTTCTCCCTAGATGAACTACAGAACGGCTCTGCCGGGGACATTTCCTCTCCATCCCTTTTGGGATTTGGGTTGAGAGTACAATGGTTCAACATGTTAACTGGGGCAGACTTCTTACCCTTGCATTATTCTTTCTTTTTTTGAATTAACAAAAACCAAAAACGCCCAAGGCCACCATCTTGCTGTCAACTGCCCAAGTGGGCATCAAGCAGGTGTCCGGGCTCACCTGGCACTCACCGCATAAGCTAAATTTCCTGCAGTTTCTGACAAGTGGGCCCCCCAACCTAACTTCCAGGGCTGCTGCTGGTTTCTCCTAACTCCCACGGCACACTCAGAAGGGGAAGCAGCCAGCTTCTGTCACCATCCTTCTTAGAAGAGGCAACATTTAAAACGTGAAGGACCTATCAGGAAATCATTTTATAGTTAAACCTGATGCTCAACTATACAAGTGCATCCATAATATAAAATTAGGAAATCAACTATTCTGCAGCATCGTTTCCTTTGCAAACTGTCAGGAATGACTTCATAATAAATTTTCTGATCCCTTAAAAGTTTACAGCTCATAGTAGGAAGATCTATTTGTATGCTAACGGCCCACATATTTATAAAGGGCCTTGGTTTTAAACATGACGTTTTTCCCATTACATTTGAGAACTTAGATGGCAAAAGACATTTCAATTCCCATCACATCTGCTACCAGTTTAAAGGCCTGAAAGACACGTGCAAAATTCCAAGGCATGTGAGTGAATTCAGATCAGTCTCATGGCATGCTCTACCACCACCAAGTTATGCGGTCTTAGGAAGCCCGCAGCTGGCACAGCCAGGAGGCCCCGGAATACGTCTGCGCTCCCAGCAGCACACACTCACTTGAGAGCACTGAGGTTGAACTCGTAGGCGTTGTCCCAGAAGAGGACCTTGCTGCGGTAGTCTCTGTCGGCGCTGCAGGGCACCAGGTGCAGCGCGGCCGTGGTCGGCCAGATGACCCCGTCCTCCTTCAGCCACACGTCCCGGGCGTACAGGATCGACTCAATCATGAACTCAAACTGCACAGCAGGGAGACACACGGGGGACATGGTGACCGAGGCCTGTGTCTGTGATGCATAGTCTGGGAGGATTTATCTTGTACCCACACCAGTGACATCACAGATTCCCACCACAGCCTGGGGTGGAGTGACACCGGTTCACTTTAGAATGAATTCAGAACTGGGCCCCGCCGACAGGAAAGATCTTCACTCTTGCCATCTCCCTCAGTATTACAGAGTTTTAACTGTCAACCCCTATAAATTTGGTCTGGAGGATTCTCAGAATTTTCATAACCTTGGAAGTTGACCGAAATCACTTCTTAAAAACATGGAACATTAAAGGAGGAGTGCCACGGATCCCTGAGGATGCACCCAGACAGGTGGCATGTGACGCCTGTGACAGAGAACAGGGGCCGCTAAAGCCCCAAGAGGCCAGCCTTTGTGTCTGAACCAAAGAGTGAGGCACAGGCCAGGGGCACATCATCCTGCAGCTGAAGGGAAGCCCCAGAAGGGTTTTGTTTTATTTAAATAACTTCAGGCATTATTATTATAGAAGCAATAGTATGTTCAGTATGGAAAAATTTAGAAAGTTCAGAAAAGCACAAACAAAAATAAAAGTCATGAGTAAACCCAGCGCCCAAAAGGAACCAATGTTTGCCTGGTGGTTTATGCTCAAGGCCTTCTCCTCACATACACATACATGCACACGTGTGAAAATTATATACAGATCATTTTTAATTGTATTTTTAAAAATTACCAATAGTAAATCAGTTACTCCATAAATTTTAACACTTGTATGAATCTGTGTAACCATAGCCACAATCGGGATACAGAACAATCCCATTACCCCAAAACACTCCTCATGATATCCTCTGTGGTCACCTCCTCCCACCACCTCCAACCTTTGGAAACCACTAACTGGCCTCTATCCCTGTGGTTTTGTCTTTTTGAGAAAGACATACAAATGGTATCATACAGTACATAATCTTTTGAGACTGGCTTCTTTCACTCATAATATCAACTTTTTCATATGCTAAAAGGTTCTCTTCTGTGCCTTCTATCCTGTTCTGTTCATCTGTCTTTTCTTATTATAATACCACACTGTTCTAATTACTCCATATAACTTTAATTACACCAGTATAGTGTCTCTGGGGTTTATCCATTTGTGCATCAATAGTTCATTCTCTTAGGTTTATTTATTTTGAGAGAGAGAGGGAGAACATGCACGTATAAGTGGGGGAGGGACAGAGAGAGAGAGAGAGAGAGAGAGAGAGAGAGAGAGAATCCTAAGCAGGCTCTATGCCCAGTTCAGAGCCCAACACGGAACTCGATCTCACAAACTGCCAGATCATGACCTGAGCCAAAGTCAAGGGTCAGATGCTTAACCAACTGAACCACCCAAGCGCCCCACAATAGTTCATTCTTTACTGACCAGTAGGACCCCATTGTGCGAATGTAGACAGCTGTTTATCTAACCACCTGTTGAAGAACACTTAGGTTGTTTCCAGCTTTTTGGCAATTGTAATTAGAGCCAGTACAACCATTCACATACAGGTTTCTGTGTAAACACAGCTTGTGCTTCTCCAGTGTAAATACCCAGACGTGTAAGTGCTGGGTCATACGGTAAGTGTACCTATAACTTTATAAGAAACTGCCAAACCGTCTCCTAGGGCGGCTGTGTGATTCCTATGAGTTTTAGTCACTCCATAGCACCTGGTATTATTGTTTAAAAGTTTAGCCATTTCAACAGGTGTGTAGGGTTACCTCATTATGGTTTCAGTTTATATTTCCCTGATGGCTAACAAGGTTTAATGTCTTTTCACATGCTTATTTCTCATCCATATATCCACGTTGGTAAAGTATCTGCTTGAGTCGTTTGCCCATTTTTCAATTAGGTTGTTGACCTTCTTCCTGTTGAATTTTGAGGATATTCAGGATACACATTAGAATGTGTATATTTTGTATATATAATTTGTATATTCAGGATACACATTAGATATGTGATTTGCAAATATTTTTTCTTAATCTTACTATATCTTTAACACTGTCTTTTAACATTTTCTTAACATAGACACCTTTAATTTTGATGAAGTCTGGCATATCAATTTTTTCCTTAATGGATCGTGCTTTAAGAATCAACTAAAAACTCTTTCCCTAACCCATGAAGATTTTCTCCCAAGATTTCTTCTGAAAGTTTACAGTTTTAGTCTATGCAATTAGATCTAGAATCAATTTTGACTTCATTTTTGGTAGAAGGTATAAGCCTTGAATTTCTTTTTTTCCCTTCTTTTTTTTTTTTTTTTTTTTTTTTTTTTGGCATATGGATGGCCAACTATGCCAATATCTTCTGTTGGAAAGACTATATCTTTTCTTCACTAAATTGATTTCGCTCCCCTGTTAGAAATCAACTGACTGTATTTTTAGAAATCTATTTCTCTATTTTGTTCCATTGACTTATGTATCTATCCTTCTAGCAATACCAAACTGTCTTGACTACTATAGCTTTATGCCAAGTCTTCAAATCAGGTATGTAATTCTTCCAATTTTATTCTTCTTTTAAAAACTGTATCCACTATTCTATTTTCTTTACTTTTCACAAAAATTTTACAATGAGCTGGTCATATCCACAAAAGAAATCCTGCTTAGACTTTGATTGGAATTATATTAAATCTACAGATCAGTTTGAGAAGAGGTATCTTTACTATGTTGTCTTCCAGTCCATGAGCACCTTGCCTTTCCATTTATTTGGGTTTTCTGTGACTTCATTCATCAGCATCTTCTAGTTCTTCACATACAAAACTTGGACATGTTTTGTTACCTAAGTATTTCATGTTTTGGGGGCTTTGTAAATGCTATTGTACATTGTTAGCATACGAAAATATGACTGCCTTCAAAAAATAAATTAAAAAACTAAAACTGGCTTTTGTATGTTCATTTTGATCACTCTGTGATCTTAATTTGCCTTTCAGTTCAAAGAAATTTGGGGGGAGATTCTTTGGGACTTTCTACAAAAACAATCATGTGGTCTGGAAACAGGGATGGTTTATTTCTTTGTTTTAAATCTGTGTGCCTTTTATTTCTTCTTTCATTTTTGCACTGGTTAGGATTGCCAGCACAGTGTTGAACAGGAATTGCAGAGTAGCCATCCTACCTCTTCCTCCTCTTAGGAGGAAGGCACTGATTCTCTCACCATTAGGCGGCTATAGGTGTTTTTTTGTTTTGTTTTTTTTTTATAGATGCCCTTTATCAGGTTGAGTAAATTCCTTTCTATTCCAAGTTTGTTGAGAATTTAATTATGAACTCAAGCTGAATTTTCCAGCACAGCATATAAGAAGCTTAGAAGATGCCATTCTGCCCTAACAAGTAAAAAGCAAATGAAAATTCCACAATTCTTCTTAGATATGTATGAGATATTAGGTCACAGAGCAATCTGCTCCCTCCAAAATCAGAGTAATCAACAAGCTTACACAGAAAATCACAAATTACTAGAGCAGAACCCTAACTCCTGGAACAACACGAACAACAATGATGAACTGCTGGAGGCTCAGCATAATCATAAGGGGACTAAATCATAAGGGGACCCCCACATGTTAGTGAGTTTTCCCTCCTGGACCTCCACCAGGTTCCACAGCAACCAGAGAAAAATCCCCTCATGCTTCTGACAGAGCAGAGGGAAAAAAACCATTTTGAAACATGCCAGAGTATTCTGTTCTTCTTAACAGGATCTGCTCTCTGGAGAAACCAGCCAATCAGAGCCTAGCCTAACTGAGCTGGGAAAAGGGCAATATTCAACTCCAGACCCCTCTAGCCATCGTGTCCCACCCAAAAGTCAGAAAAGAAATTGAGAAATTTTGTGAAGCTCACAGTCTAGAAACACAAGTTCACTAAAAGACTGAGACCTAACAGGACCACAGAATGCTTCTGCTTCCCCCACACCTCACCACATTACTAAAGGCCTATTTATAGCTATTCCCTTACCCAACACATCACACAAGGCTATCAATAAAAAACTTACAAGGTTGGGGCGCCTGGGTGGCTCAGCTGGTTAAGCATTCGCTTTCAGCTCAGGTCATGATCTCTTGGTTTTCCTGCATTGGGCTCGGTGCTGACAGCTCAGAGCCTGGAGCCTGCTTTAGATTCTGTGTCTCCCTCTCTCTCTGCCCCTCCCCTGCTCGTGCCCTGTCTCTCTCCCTCAAAATAAATACACATTAAAAAAAAAAATTCAAATAAAATTACAAGGCAAACAACAGTCTGAAGAGACATAATAAGCATCAGAAGCAGACTCAGATATAGTAGGGATGTTGGCATCATCAGGCTGAGAATTTAACACAACTATGATTAACATGCTAAGAGTTCTAATGGATAAAGTAGAAAGAATGCCAGAACAGATGGGCAATGTAAACAGAGAAATCAAAATCTTAAGAGAGACCCAAGAAATGTTCAAAGTAAAAAAAAAAAAAAATACTGTAACAGAAATGAAGAATGCCTTTGTTAGGCTTAGTGGGAAACAAGGCATGTCTGAGGAAAGAATCTCTGAGCTTGAAGATATGAGAACAGTAACCTCCCAAACTGAAAAGCAAAGAGAACGAAGACAAAAAACAAACAAACAAACAAACAAACAAACAAACAAAAACACAGAACACAATATCCAAGGTCTGTAAGACAACTACAAGGGGTGTAACATACACAAAATGAGAATACTAGAAGGAGAAGAAAGAGAAAGGAACAGAAGAAATATTTGAAGCAATAATGACTGAGAACGTCCTCAAATTAATGTCAGATAGCAACCCACTGATCCAGGAAACTCAGATTACACTAAGCAGGATAAATGCTTAAAAACAATATACCTATGGGGTACCTGGGTGGCTCAGTCCATTGAGCATTCAACTCTTGATTTTGGCTCAGGTCATAACTTCACGAGATCAAGGCCTGCCTGGGATTCTCCCTCTCCCTCTCTCTGCCCATCCCTTGCTCATGCTTGCTCGCTCTCTCTCAAAATAAATTAATGAAAACTTTTAAAA